CCAAAACCCTCAGCTGTCCTTCGTCTTTCTTAGATTTGGGACGTCCCACGCCCTGCTTCTGATCGAGGTAAGTTGGTGATGTAGCCTGGGAAGTGATGATGATGGTGTTCGTCGGCTGGTGGTGGCGAAGTGTTTGACGGTGGGGAGATGGGGTGATGGCGCTTGGAGGAGTCGAGAGGGAGAAGGAATGGAAGGAAGGAAATTGGGTTCTTGTTTATTTGCTGAGGGAGAAAAATGGAGTTGCTTCCCCTGTACAACTACTGTCCGGGCTTCCATTTTTTTTCAATTTAATGGCAAAACTAGTGGACAATGACTCCTCTCATTACAGAACTGTGAACCTCATTCTTTCATCACCTACCATGATCCCAAATTAATGAAATCCACACTCACCTGTTGGAGGGTTTTTTTCTATAATGGGAAACAAATGGGGTGAGGGGATTATAATTGTTGGGATGGGTTCGAGAGAGAGAGAGAGAGAGAGAGAGAGAGAGAGAGAGAGAGAGAGAGAGAGAGAGAGAGAGAGAGAGAGAGAGAGAGAGAGAGAGAGAGAAGTGGGGTGGGGTGTAACAGATAGGGTGTGGGTGACATGGGGTGGGGTGGGTTTTTTATTTGTTTTAATAGTAATAATAATAATAATAATAAGTTATTGATATTATTTCTAATTCGCAATTGTAACCATTTCTACGTAAACGTTTATTCAATCGTTAACTTACTAGCAGTGGGCCCGGCCCGTTGGCCGGTGTCGTTATGAACCTGAAGCATAATCTGAAGGTAATGGTTATACTTAAAGATATGTTTATATTAAAAGATATTATTTCGTGGAAAACAACTATATAAAATAGAGTCTATATATAAACGCTATCAAGCATCCATTTTGGATTTCAATTTAATGAAGCATAATAGTAATCAATCAATAGTTGGTTTGTAGACATATATAATTATACAAAACTCCGATCCTCCAAATTGAAGTGCAAAGTGACGACACATCATTAGGGTAGTAAGAAGGGAAAAAACACTAACAATCAAATTGTCAAAACAAATGCAGCTAACCTTCTCATGAGCTTTCATTCATGGCATACAGATCTACATTGAGACTCGACTTAACTTGAGATTGATTTGGCACTGCTAAACCAAACTTGAAAAACAAAAGAAGACAATTCATAAGGGAAAAATTATCCAACATTTAAGAAAAGATTGTAGTCGAAGAACACTAATGTATTCCATAATTGTAATTGAACAAAAGGAGAAAATCCATAAGGAAAACCTAGAAACGGAGTTCCAATATCAACCTGAAAGAAATTAGAATACCGAATACCCCTTAAATGAAAACAGAATATTGATTAGAAGCTTCACATTGTGGCTCTTCACTACACAAAGTTTCCACACAATACTATTCCTCCTCAAGGTCACAGGACTTGGGGTCACAATCAGTTGCTGCAATCAAATTACATTAATAATAGAGTTGTAAAACACGAAAATAATCTTGAATCCCTTAGGTAAACGGAAATGATGTGCAACTGAAGTGTTCATCACCTACCTGAAGTGGATCGTGATCAATGCTAACCACTTATACTCAGCTTGTGGGTTCAAGAAGTTGAACTGAGTAAGTTTAAAATGAAGTTTGAGTGTCATGTTAACAATTTGTTGGATATGAGACGGAATGAGTTCTTTCTTCCTCTGATTTAAATGAAATAACACATCAGCCATCACTCCGAAAAAAGCGCAAATCTTCAAGCTCTAAATGGAAAATAAGCTTCTTCCGTATCATCCTGCAATTGGCGTTTGACTCTAAACCTATGGTGAAAATGAAACAAAATTCAACAATGTCATAAATCTGTATGCATCATCCATAACGTGCAGCCAAATCCTACTTTCCTATAAAAATGGAGGAACAAACTGTGCAGATTACAAAATGTACAAAGCAAGAATCAGCTTATAAGCTTACTTGGCTTTAGCAATGGAAGAAGTCATCTTACAGTGTCCACAAAAGTACTCTTCTAAATCTCATTCCACCTTGTGAGGGCATACAACATACCCCATGTAGCACCAATTAAGACGTACTTGAATCACGTTCCCTTCAACCGTAAACAATTTTTTTTAATTTAACACAAAAAATTGTTAATAGGTAAATTAGAACTTATTCGTAAAAAAATCCCAGTTGTAGAATTCAAGCAAAATCATAAGTATCTGTAGAAAAATATCATAAAACTTCTCCACAAAGTCGTTTGATGAATCACTGATGATGTACAACTCATGTAAGCAAACTTCAAACAGCTAAAGATAAGTAAAAGGCAAAGAGTGACATACCGGGGACTAAAACAAAACGTACTTGATACATCCATCGTACCACCAATAGGAACTTTCTTCTCATCCTAGCTAAAGTCGCAATATAGCGATCCACGCAAGTGATGCGGGCTTCAACTTGTCAATAACTATCAATAAGATGTAGACAACTAAGAAAAATGGTAACTTCAAATCAATACAAAAAATATTCAATTTCACCTATCACCCTCAAAACACACCCTCTCCATGTCAACTTCAGCTACTATCGGACCTTCTAGTGAGACACAAATTGATTTTCCTTCCTTTCCCTAACAAAAGACAGAAGGGAATACAAATCAAATAAGCTATAATTTCCTTACATATAAGACGCCCAATCACAGGACAACAACAAAACTAAGAACAAAATGAGTATTTAAATCGAGTAGTAGCAGAGTTAGAATTGAATGGAGGATCTACATAAAGTGTAATCATGGAGACGCTTCGACAACATTGTTGCAATCAGGGAAACCCCACCGAGAAATTGTCTCTTAATCCCATATAAAATGCAACAGTAGGACTAATTTTACGAAGGGAATTGATGCAATATGGAATCGTCGGAAGACTAAGCACAAATGATGTAGAGTTTTACTGGGTCACGTATGCTTTGAAATAGTACTTACAAAGTGTGATGACTAAAATTATAATTCTAACAAACTTTACAAACTAACTTGTAAATTTACAATTTAAGCTCACATTCACTATAATAAACCTCACCACACCATAGCCACTCTCTCAAGTTCGCACTCCTCTCACCACACTCAATCTTCTCACCTACCCTAAATTCTCACGTCTCTCTCTTTCTTCCCTCTCTTTTCTAAATTTCCTATCACTTCTCTAATCCTTTTGTTGCTCACTCCACTACTTACAACACGTCACAAACCCAAGACCCCTTTTTATAATACTAAACCGATATAACCAAGAAAAAATCTAAATAAAGATTTTATTTCTTTCTTTCTTCCTTCTCTAGAGACTTCTTCTTCTAGCTCTTCCCTCTTTCAACATTATGGGTTCTTCCTCTTCCCAATAATTCCAAATTTTCTTCTCCCAAATATCTCACCTAGCTTCTAGATTGTATTGACCGAATATGATTTTGATTTCTCAATAAATGATTGGAACTGGTTAATTAGCTAATGGATAGATTTGCCATTGAAAGCGCAAAAGAAGAGGGCACATCGCACATACGGCGAGGCGGAGAGGAGTCAGGACATTTTTTATGGGCTTGCAAGACAGCAGATGGCTACAAACACAACTACAATCGAGAAGAACGGAGAGGCCTACTGTGGAGAATTTTTAATTTAGAGGCCTGCAGTGTGGCAAAAGGAACGTCTGTCCTGTTGTCAGCAGAGGCGGCTAAAGGAAGACAGCGAGACAAAGAGGAGTTGAGATTTTTTTCTGGGGGATTGCAAGCCAGACCTAATTTGAAAGCAAATACAACGAAGATTGAGGAAGAACAGAGAGGCCTACTGTGGAGAATTTTTAATTCAGATTAGGTGTGTCAAAGAGGAATGTCAGAGTGTTTGTGAGCTGAACAGAGGCGGCGAGAGAGTATTCATAGAGGTGAGAGAGAAATCACTTTTTCTGGTTTCTCCGGGGCAAAAAAAAAAAAAAAGAAAAGAAATCGCAGAATATGGGAAGACAGCGAGCGAGGGAGAGATGGATGGGAAATGTCCATAAAGGCCTTCCGAATTGTGCGGCCGTTTCAGCAGCAGCTGACGTGGCAAAGGCTGTTTTTTGACATTGCCTTATAGTATTTTGTAGACTAGGGTCGAACTCGAACCCAAATGTCGGGGTGTTACATGAACATGTACCACTGATCTGGTACATATACCAATGAATTGATACATGTACCACTGAAGTGGTAACCCGATACAAGTATTTGTGCAACTATTCAAGTCATACTTTTCACACCAAAATGTGATCACCCACTTGCAGTGTTAGAGATAATGTACTCATATCATTAGCAAAATCGAAACTCATCCTAAATGTTCTCATTGTAGTGTTAGATATAATTTGGAGTGGTACTACTGAAATGGTACATGTATCACTGAACTGATAGAAACTGACACACATATCATTGCACTGATACATGAACCACTTAACATATATGTGTACTACTAAAAGTATATATGTACAACCAATCTGATACATAAACAAACAAGAAACTTTCCATTAGTATCACCACTAACCGCAGAGAAGAATGTGTTCTAAAAAAGGGAAATGGAAATAAAAAATAATATACAACCAATGTAATAAACAAAAATGAAGTCGCTAGGATATTGTTTGTGCGAAGCCTAAATAACGACAAATCAGGTGTCGAAGGATGACTGGATCACTTGGGTAATGCAATGGAAAAACATAATTTGAATTATAGAGTTGTGGCTGCACTTCTTGTCGCTAAGATAATCATTACGTTTCCTCTTCCCCCTAACTTGTTGTCCATTATCCTGGATTTCAAGAAATCGCTTCTTACTTGTACCCGCGCTCGAGAAATGATCCTGACCTAACCCATTTTCTTTCATTACAAAAACACATAGCTTCCATGCCTCTTCCCTCTAGGCACTCAAGGATACAGTCTCTTCATCCCGACCAGTTCCGTAGACAATAATTAGCACTATCAATGCAGTGATAGAAATACGAATCAATAAGTAATACAACTATCACTACAGTGGTAGAATTACCAGCACATTTTTGCACCTGCTGACTCCCTCCGAGCACCTGCAAGAAGTACCACTGCACTGGTAAGGCATATCACTTCACTGGTACAAATACCACTAGACTGGTAAGACACATCACTTCACTGGTACAAATACCACTGGAATAAAAAGTTTAACATTGATAACATTCAACAAAAACTCAAACAGTACAATTATCATTGCAGAGCTAGCAGTACACTGGTACCAGTACCAGTACTCACATATGAGTATAATCATAAACTACCAGTTCATTGGTATCAATATCAGTACTCACACCAAAAATCCAGATTTGGGTATGGGAGAGAGAGATAGTGGGACAGAGAGAGCTACCACAGATTCTCCGTCGTCGTCGCCGGGAAGGGGAGGATGGACATTGTAGGAAGGGGAGACGAGTCGTCATCTTTTTCAGGAAGGTGAGGAGGGTCATCGTCTTCTCCGTCGATCCCTTCACAGTGCCAAACTTGTGGAAGGAGATGGAGAGTTACGGCAAGTTTGGTGTTGCTCGGAGTACAGGGGCAGTCACCATCTAAGACATAGCCCACGACGGAGGATGTGGGACGGAGCCGGAGGGAGATGTGGACTGTGACGGTGAAGAGGCGACGATGGCGAGCAGGGGAAGAGGGAATCGTGGGAGAGAGGAGGAAACGAAAAGGAGAGAAAAAAGAGGGAGAAGAGGGATGAGAGAATATGCTAACCCTCAAAGGGGTTGGGTTTTTGACACCCCAGTCATCAGCCATCCATTTCATCCCGAATCTTAAGGTAAGTATTAATGGAAGGGTTTTTTTTATTTTCCAGAATTTTGTAAATGGGGCAAGTTCACATATTAATTACGTTTTCATGGGGAAAGAGTAAATCACGTTGGATAGGGAAAAATTGATTGAGCTTCCATATTTTCCTTCTTTCCTCTTGAAAAAATAAAAACTCAGCCTTCTTCTCTACATAACTCGACGGCTGCCGGAAACCAGCGGGCATCGCCGCAGTGGGATCCCCTTCGACCCGCCGGTGGGTTGCTCGTCACCGGAGGATGAGACACATGGGATAATTTCGGAGATCGAGCCGGCGAAGGCCACGCGGGAGGCAAGACATATCTTAGATTCCGTGCGGCGGTTCTGGGCATGCCAAGAACGGCGGCTCCTGTGTCGGCATCGAATGACGGGGAAGTGCAGACGAGATCGGACTCGCCTCCCGACCGCCGAATGGATTGCTGGCTGTCGAGGGAGAAACCGTCGGAGATACAGAAGAACATGGAGGGCACCGATTACTCATTTCTTACCGCTTCTTGTCGTGAAGTGCAATCCTACAACGTCTAGTAGCCAACGGCATTGTCGTGAACATGTACCACTGATATAGTACATATATCATTGAACTTATACATGTACCACTAAACTGGTATATGTATCACTAGAGTGGTATATGTACCATTGACCTGATACAAGTACCAGTGCAACTATTCAAGTCATACTTTCCACACCAAGAATGTGACCACACACTTGCAGCATTAGATATACTATACTTGTACCATTAGCAAAATCGAAACTCATCCTAAATGTTCCTGTTGCGTTGTTATATATACTTTTGAGTAGTACCATTGAAATGGTACATGTATCACTAAACTGAAAGATGTGCCAGTGAACTTATACACATACCATTGTACTAATTGATGTATCACTGAACTGATACATGTACAACCAATTTGATACATAAGCAAACCAACAATTTTCCATCAGTATCACCACTAGTCGTAGAGTAAAATGTGTGTATCAAAAAAGGAAAATGCCAACAACAATAAAATATTCAGCCAATGTAACAAATAAAACATGAAGTCACTAAGAAATTGTTTGTGGGAAGTCTAAACAACAGTAAATCAGGTGTTGAAGGATGACCGGGTCACTTAGGTAATTTGGCGGGAAAACAGAATTTGAATTATAAAGTTGGGGTTGCACTTCTTGTCGCTAACATCATCGGTACGTTTCCTCTTCCCCCTATATTGTCTGTTATCCCGACTCTCACAGCGTTGCTTCTTGTTGGTACCCGCACCCGATGAATAATCTTGACCTACCCCAACTTCTACATGGCGACGAACATAGCTTCCATGCCTCTTTCCTTAAGGCACTCCAAGTTACGGTCTCTTCGTCCTGACCATTCCTGCAGACAATAATCAACACTATCAATGCAATGATAGAAATGAGTTTGATAAGTAAGACAACTATCACTATAGTGGTAGAATTTAGTGGTAGAATTACCAATACATCTTTGCAACTATCACTGCAGTGATATAAATCAGTGGTACAATTACAATTACAACGGTACACCAAATACCGCACTAGTGGTAGAAATACAAGAACACTCACATGGCTAACTATCAATGGTATAATTACAATTACAACAGTACACCAAATACTGCACTAGTGGTAGAAATACAAGAACATTCACACGACTAACTATCAATGTAATGATAGATTGTAGTCATAGAAATAATACTTCATTATCCAAGAATCAACTATCACTGGAGTGGTACATTTTCGTGCTAGAATCAACAATATATACCACTTCGGTGATAGACATACACAGAACGCTTTGTCAAATCAACTATCAATGGAGTGATACACTTCTTTGCCAATGTCAACAATTTATACCACTCCAGTGATAGACATACCAGTACACTGGTACTAATACCACATGAAAAAATCCACACGAAAATCCAGATTTGGGTTTGGGAGTAAGAGATGGTAGGGGAGAGACAGATACCTCAGTTTCTTCGTCGTCGTCTTCGTCGGGAAGGGGAGGAGGGCCACCGCAGGAACGGCAGGAGTGAAGTCATCTCGTAGGGAAGGTGAGGAGGGTCGTTGTCTTCTCCGTCGATCCCTTTGCAGTGCCGAGCTTTGAGGAAGGAGATGGAGAGTCGCGGCGACACGCCTGGTGTTGTTCGGAGAACAGCGGCAGCCATCATCCGAGACTTAGCCCACGACGGAGGATGAGAGAGAGTCGGAGAGAGAGGATCTTGTTGGTGCGTCAATGATCGGAAACCATGGACCGTGGCGGGGAAGAGGTGACGGCGGCGAGCATGCAGGGGAAGAGGGAATCGAGGGAGAGAGAAGGAGAAAGAGAGAAAAAATGGGATTAATTTTGAATTAGGGGTGTGCACTGTTTTACCCCAGACTCTTTGCATTTTCAAATATAGTGAGAGAAATATATTGTATAATTAATACCCAATAAACAACTGATTAATCCTTACCATTAGATTAGATGGATGGTATCTAAGAGGGGTGTCAAAAATCAAACCCCCTTAGTCACGTTAACCGCTCCCGGGAGAAGAAAATGGTTTCAAATTGGGGGTGGGAACCGTATTTCTCCAGATTCTTTCCCTTTTCCAATGTGGTTAGAGAAATTAATTATGTAAGAGAGGTGTCAAAAATCAAGCCCCCTTAAAAGGGTAGTCACGCTAACCGCTCCCCTTCTGTTGATTTATCTTGCTTGTTCTTTACCTTTTATAGCCATATATATGCACAGACAAATTCAATACGGGGACAAATAACTCGATTAATCCTGATTGACATAAATAAACCAGCATGTAATTATCTAATCTAATACTAATTATACTGTGATTACTGTTGCATAGTGGTTTTGTTATCATGCACAACTGTCACTCTCTTTAGCTCACCCGCAGGCTGAGGGTGATGATGACATTGATGATGAGCATATCATGTTATGTCTCATGTGGAAGTCGGCTATTCTTAAGGGGGTTTGTGGATATTTTAAGATTATTAAGTTGATAATTATTATAAGGGAGTGGATACTATACAAAATCCAGAGCTGTAAAACCTTGCAAAATTGGATCGTATCATCGTATCACGACATCGTGATACAATTTACGAAATATAATCGTGTTGTATCATCATATCACACATGTGTGATACAATTAAAGGTAATTGAAAGGGAGGCCGGATAGGACAGAGAAAATTATTATTAGTTTTCACTTTCATATTTATCCCAACTACACATTTTCACGGTTTTATTTCTTGATGCACATTCACTAACCAATAAACATTTTGCTTTGCGCTCTTATCAGTTTAGATTCCGAAGGATTTTTTCTATTGGACCACCAGTACGGTACAATCGTCGCTCAACCATGGTTAAAATCAAGTTTGACACGTTGTTCTGACCTGAGTCCCGATGTTGTTAAGAAAAACTAAAAATTATAAAATCATATCGAAGATCGTACCGAAAAAGTCAACATCAGGATTTTGTATTAAAACCATACTTCAGTCATTAGAGCTTGACACGTTGCTCCAACCCGAGGCTCGATGCATGTTCCGAAAGAACCAAAAAAATAGAAAAACCTTACTGAAGGTCGTATTAGAAAAGTTAGCATTAGGTAATTTTATCCTAAAATCGTAGTCAACAATATTAGTTAAATTATTTCATACAACTAAAATCACCTATTGATTTAGATTTCGTTAGGAGTTTTTCTATTTGACCGCTAGTATGATGCAATAGGAGTTCATCATTAGTTAAATAACACTAGACACGTTGCTCCAACTCGAGCCTTGATTTATGTTAAAAAAATCAAAAATTGTAAAACCATACTAAAGGTCATTCCAAAAATATTAATATTATGTTAATTTTTTGCTAAAATCTTAGTTCAATACTGGTTAAATCAGACTTGACACGTTGCTTCAACCCGAGTCTTGATGTATATTCAGAATAACAAATAATTGTGTAAGCATACGTAAGATTCTACCGAAAAAGTTAGCATTAGAGTATTTTGTGTTGAGATCGTAACTTAACCATGGTTAAACTCAGGCATGACATGTTGCTCCAATCCGAGCCTCGATGTATGTTCATAACAAATCCAAAAATTGTAAAATGATATCGAAGGTCGTACTCGAAAATTTATCATTATGGTATTTTGTGCCAAAATCGCAGTTCAATCATAGTTAAATCAGGATTGAGACATTGCTCCAACCTGAGTCTCGATGTATGTTTAGAAAAACTAAAAATTGTAAAACCATACTAAGGGGACTTACCGAAAAAGTTAGCGTTTGGCCAGTGCTAAAATCGTAGTTCAACCGTACTATAATCATTTCATACAACTTAAATCACTGACTGATTTAAATCAGTGACGATTTTTTTTATTTCACCGCTAATACGGTACAATCTTATTTCAACCGTGGTTAAATCATGCTTGACACGTTGCTCCAACTCGAGCCTTGATTTATGTTTAGAAACAACCAAAATTGTAAAACAATATTGGAACTCATATCGAAAATAGTTAGCATTAGTGTATTTTGTGCTAAAATCGTAGGCCAAAAGTGGTTAAATAAGACTTGACACGTTGCTCCAACCCAAAAACAAAAATTGTAAAACCATATACCTAAGATCATACAGGAAAAGTTAGCATTAGAGTATCTTGTGATAAAATCGTAGTTCAACTTTGGTAAAATCATGCTGGACACGTTGCTCTAACGCGAGTTTCGAATGTTAAGTAAAATAAAAAATTGTAAAACCATTCCGAAGGCTGTATCGAAAAAGTTAGAATTAGAGCATTGTCCAAAAATTACAGAAAAAGTTTCGCAACTCCCTCCTGTGAAACTCCTCCTTTAATTTAACTATGATTGATGTCAACCGTGCTCAAATCATTTTATACACCTACCAATTTAGTTATTTT